AAAAAAAAAAAAAAACGAGCGTATTAGAAAGGCCTCAATCTTCCCCACCAACCTCTTCTTGGAGGGTACATCTTCTCCGTAATTAAGCTTGATCATGCTCTAAATGAGCCTGACTAATTACGAGTGAGGACTAACTGAAGGTGGTGTGGGAATATCCCCTGCCCCAGTTCTTTAATTGGGAGATTCTTGTTAAGGGCTCAATATCGGGCCTCTTGATTCTGTTGTAAAAAATGTACCAGTAGCATCACTTTGACAAACACGCTGCGCGCTGCGCAATAGCTTCAGTCAGATTTAAACTGGTACAGGTCTGTCCTTGGTGCTGAAAGCCATCTGAACGCACAGACAAACTTTTGCGAGCGTCATCAGCAAAAATGACGACTTGCTCAGGCATTGGTGGGCTTGCGTCGCTAGATGTTGTGGCTCAAATTCGATTCGTATCGAAATGTAGACGTGTCCTAAATCTGGTCATACTAGCTGCTCTCCAACTTCATACAACCTTGTTTAAAGTTAAAACTTTTGATCCAACACAAAAAAGGTTCTCTCACCTAAAGCTTTATTCATCCAACCTTTGTTGGTTGGTGGTCGGGGAAGGTTCTAAATGTGTGACATGGGCTTAAAGAATTTGTTTCTGCGTCACTACTGCGAAGCAAGCGGTCTTATACAAGACCTGACCTTTCGACGTTGGGCATGCAGGGCGCATATCCAGGTCTAGTCGGGGATTTGGCGTCAATCGAGTATACTTCTCAAAAGGTTAAGTGGGTGCTAATCGCCATTTTTACCTGCGTTTGGAGACGTTTTGCGTCTGGAGACTCAGGAATTGTATTTAACGGATTTGCTACCTCCGAGAAGGAAGTTAAAAGGGTTTTAGTGGTCATTTGAGATCTCCGTTTCAAGATATTTTGCCTCTGCTGACTCAAAAATTGTATTCAGTGGATTTGCTACCTCCGAGAAGGAAGTTAAAAGGGTGTTAGTGGCCATTTGAGATCTCCGTTTCAAAATATTTTACTACCGCAGACTCAAGAATTGTATTTAATGGATCAGCTACCTCCGTCCAACAGATTATGTTTCCAACCGGCGCAATTGTCTGGTTCTATATGTGAGTAATGTACGTGGCTGTAGCTGTGGCAACAATTTACCACACACGGAGTCCGAACGATATTGGACAATATCTTGTACTCATGAAGCGATGAAACGATTGACTTACTTACTTAATTTGCTAACTTTACATAAACAAGAGATCAAGCGTTGAAAGTGTTTAATTGGAAGCTGGACGAAGCAAGAATCTAGTGGGGATATTCCACATTAGGCTATAGAGTTATATGGAAAACACTCTGCTCTGAGAAAAGGAAAAAAATAAGCAAGAAGAAATGAAATGCGAAATGCCTGGACCACAGGAAAACGTCAGAAGTGAAACACATGTACATGTGACTGTATAAAACCCCTACAGGATCGATGTGTAATTTCCGTGCACTGCTCTTGGCTCACTGTGCTTCCGTACAGTCGGTTTATGTACACTATCCTTTGTATATACAGTGTGGGTGCCTTGATCCTTTTTGCCAAGGTGATGTGCCTACGTGAAGGCCAAACCGTTACCCTGGGTCGATGAACTGCAATGGCAAAATTCTTTGCCAATAGTTTAAAAAATGTAGATTTATTGTATATCCTTTGTATTTACATAGTATGGGTGACTTGATCCTTTTTGCCAAGGCAAACTCCCTACGTGTAGGCCAGACCGTCACCCTGGGTCAATGAACCTCAACGGCAAAATGTCTTTGTAAAATGTGCAATTTCCTATCAGTACGTTTTGGCCTACTGTACATCCTCTGTGTATGTATAGAGAGGGCAACTTGTATTGCATTGGTCTTCGCAGTCCGTTAGTCATGCATTTTTTTTCTAAGTCAAGCTGTCTACGTGACGGCCAAACCGTTACCCTAAGTTCGAGCGTTGAACCCGTTACCGCAACAGTAAAAAATCTTTACAAACCCAGGATGTGCAATTTTCTATCCGTGCATTTGGTCTACTGTACACCCTTTGTGCATTTACAGTGGGAAATTTGCGATGCATGGTCTCGGCACTCCGTTATTCGGGTGAAAGCAAAATAGTTAACGTTACCCTGGGTCGTTGAACCTCAATGCTCAATGGCAAAATATATTTGCAAACTGTCGGTGTGGCCTCACATGAAATTTGATTGGCAAAATGGACAAGTAACACGCCAGCTGAGGGTAGTTAGTCAGCTAAAATAATACAGTTCAGAACGACAAACTTTACTCATTTAGCCGACTATCTCCTTTTGTATGTTATCTGTTTATTGGGCAAATCTTTTTCTAATCTTTTTCTTTTTCTCCTCTGAAGCCTGCAGCTGGTAAAAGCATGCTAGGATCTGACTTAAGAGATCTTTTGCCAACCACAACCTCTGCGGTCCAATACTAGGCCCAGGTCAGACCGCCAGTTTAAAAATACAAACCGCGGCATTAAAGTCTTTGAACTTTGGACTAGCGCAAAACCCTTTTCTTCCTCCAGGATACGTGACATTTCAGATGCCGTTTATATAAGGTTTATGCGGGAAAAAGGTTTTGCCACGGGCGCTCTTTGAACACGACTTATTTTGACATTTACAAAGCCTTTATACTAGTATATAATCTACCTTCGCGAATATTCGTAGTATAGTCAGGTCATCCTAACCCTGGATCACTATAGAAGATCCCCTTCTTACAAATGTAATTCCTAACCATTTTGCAAACTTGCGTCATCAATATAATCGGTATCCTTTAGTATACTTAAGGGCCATTTAATAGCCCACTTGGAATTTGCTAGTAATGTTGGTTTAAGTCAAGAAGTATTTTGGTCCGACGCAAATCTTTTTTCTTCAAAGACAGGAAATGGGATTTCCAAATACTCTGTTTGCGGAGGATTTGTAGTAGGTTAGGGCTAGACGTCACTGAAAAAAATTCACTAAATTTGAGGCACAATCGCCCGGTATAGTTAGCCTCTACCAGGCTTCGGCCGGAGGCGGCTGGAAAGAGTAGAAATCGGCCAAACAGAGTGGCAAACTGTTCTCTCCAGCCGACCAAACTCCCCTGGCATGTTATCTCTCTATTTGGCCGATTTCTACTCTTTCCAGCCGCCTCCCGAAGCCTGGTAGAGGCTACGGTATACTAGTACAATACTAGTAGTAGTACTAGTAGTATGCTCGTCCCCAGGATATCGTGCGCTGCGCGCCCTGGGGACGTGACTGACCCGGAAGTATAATGACGCAATCGGACCCTACCATCAGGAAAAATGGTGGACGCCGCAACTAAGAAAACTCTAAGTAACATTCCTCTTCTCAAGACGAAAGCCGGGCCTCGAGACCGGGACCTTTGGGTCCAGAGGCTTAAGGAAGAGTACCAAGCCCTTATTAAGGTATTTAAGTATGACTATATCGTTGATATCATGTATAAAACCGAAGTAGTGAAGCATGCCATACGTTGCCCCCCTCCCACCCTCCACATTTTCGTGATCTAAACTTTACCATATGTTGACAGTAATATTAACTTGAATGCGCTTGTAATTCATTTGTACATCAATATAACATTAGTATATGATGTAATAAACCATTACCCGACCAAACTCCTATCCTTAGAGGCTTAGACATAACGATATCAAACCTTATGATCAAATTTCAGATAATTTTTTTCAATTAAGATGGACAACTAAGATTACAAATGTCAATGAAACTTCATCATTTCAAGTAATACGATGTGCTGTTGAACATGTAGAGGCTTGATGAAGAATTTGTTGTCACACAGACTGAGTTAAGTTTATTAAAAAGCCATAGTTTTATTTGTTGTTGTTGTTTTTGTTCTTATATTAAGTATGTAGAAAACAACAAGAAGGAAGACAATGACTGGTTCCGACTGGAGTCCAACAAAGAAGGAACAAGGTGGGTAAAAATAAGAAAGAGAACAAGAAATCAACGATTTCACACATTCCTGAATTTCTTGTTTTATTTATTCTTATCTAGATCTTCCTTGATTACAATAATTCTGTGCATACTTTGTTAATCTCCAGCAGATCTTTCGGTGGTCGCAAAAGACAGTGTCAAATTGGCCAGGCAGTATCCATTGGCCACCCAGTCGCTGGACACTCTTCTGGCCAATGGATACTGCCTGGCCACTGTATGATCTGCTTGGAGATTATATTTTACTGTCAACTGATGAAACTATTTGTAAAATATTGTTCTAATTTTCTACAGGTGGTTTGGAAAATGCTGGCACTACCAGGACCTGATGAAATATGAGTTTGAGATTGAGTTTGATGTAAGTCATGTGATCTACCCTTTTCTTTTTCTATTTATTTATCTTACGGACAAATGGGTGGTCTCTTCAGCCATTGGGGCTGATTTCCAAGGGAGCCCATGGAATACAAGAAAATAATGTAACAAAAAATAACAATAGTTAAACGTAAGAAAGGAATTCGAAAATCATAAATCAAGATACAATAATAATTATAGGTAAATTTCTAACAAGAAACTTCAGACTTCCAGGATGTATGCAACTCTTGGCTTCCTGAATTCCCCCATGTCGACCCCTAATTCCTGTTGGCTTCCAGCTAGATTTTGAGACCTTTGCTCTCCTGTCATTCTGCCTGTCAATCTCCCCCACCCATGTGCTATCAACCTACTCTGTCTGGACAAACAGATACTTGTTAGCTAGGTACTCATTTTTTACCCGAGTCAAGTATCACCCGAGTCCTAGTCCTACATCCTCTTCGCAAATAGCCATACTAGGTCTGGTAACCAGGCTATTTCGAAAGAAAAAGTGAAACTACCAGGGATTTAAACCCAGACCATTTGGATTCTGAGTCAACAACCCTAAGCAAAAGACCACCTTTTCTCCTAAACTGCCTTGCCAATTATTGATGGAATACTGGTTAGAATCTCACAAATTGGTGATCAGTCAAACATGTACATGTACCTGTCAAACTGTATATTTTAATTGGAGGTGCAGGATTTACAATAATCACTCTGTCTCTGTCCTACTACCTTTATTGATCCATTCTTGGAGGTGCCTTTTCCAAATTTCTTTCTCGGCAAAAAATGCCTGATTGGGATCACCTAGTCCTATCCTATGTAAGTTGACTGTGTGGTGTATGTAAGTCTTTGAATGTCTTAACCTTAAAACTATAACCATGACAACTGGACTAACAGATCCTGTTGTATACAGAAGATGTTGCATTGATTTGAATAGTCCAATGGACATGTTTGATCTCCTACTGTATTGATTTGCTTGGTTGAAAATTTGACATTTTAGTCGTTTTGTCATAATCGGGCCAGTGTAGTGACCTTTTTAAATGCTTAAGAATATGAAACACACAGTAGGCAACAAGATGAAATCCACATCATTGAAAAAAAAAAACAGCAACATTACAAAAACCGAAAAACACTTTCTTGCCCAATTGCTATTGATTTCTTAAATGCAAATGTTAAATTTCTCAATATAGATTTTTGCGGTTTTGATTTGGTTTTATTTTGATCTCAGTTATTGGTGATACAATGTTGCTTGTCCCAATTCCATCTAGATCACAAACTTATGAGCTTCCTTTGAAATGTATGAGTAACAGTTCAATAAAGATTTCCTCTGTCCTACTTCCATTAATATCATAACTGACCCCACCTCATGATCAGAAACTGGTGGAAGTCAAACTGCAAATCTCTAGATCTGTCCTGTCACATCTGGTCTCAGCACTGGAAATAAACACATGACCTATATAGAGATATGCCTGGCAATTGCATGATTTTTAGGATCAGTGTTTGTCACATTTTACCAATCCCTGTCCGATGTATCAAGATAGATTTTCAGGTCGAAAATGTGCCTAATTTTTTTGTCTATTTTAAAATTGTGCCTAGTTTTTCTGTCGATTTTGAAATTGTGCCTAATTTTTCTTGTCAATTTGGAAATTCTTTCAATGATCAAATTTGGTTGAAGGCTGCTGATAGTGTTATGCCGGCTTTATGGACATTGAAATGGAATATTTAATCATTACAATCAATCAATCAATCAACTTAATTGCTCAACAACTGTAGCTGGTACAATGTATGGCAAAGGAACAACAAGGGTACATACATGAACTAAAACAAAATGTCTTTCTTGTCCAGTGTTTTTGAATATTTCAATTATTCTGATTGTGCATGTAGGAAGCAGTGATGTGTAATTTCTTCCTCTTACCGAAACTGAAAGTAGGTCAATCTTTGATGTTGTGCTTCAGAAGCTGTATACATGTACTATAATGCCAAAGGAAAGCTTGGACTTACATGTATATCATGTGTTCTTTTGTGCTGATTTCAGATCCCGATCACCTTCCCAACAACTGCACCAGAAATAGCTATCCCTGAACTGGAGGGGAAAACTGCTAAGATGTACAGGTGGGTGGATCAAACATTATTTTTTAAATGTTTACCTTCATAGAAGGAAAACATGTTGTCTTTGCTCTGTGAATTCTTTTTCTTTTCCAAACAAATAAGGTCAAAGATATCTGTGTGATCTTTTATGTTTACCTTCATAGAAGAAAACATATTGTTTTTTGCTGTTTTTCTTGTTCTTCTTCTTCAAACACATAAGGTCAATGACCTGGACCAGATAGCTGTCGCCATGGTAACTGATGCTGTGGCAGGCACTCTGTGGTGTTGGAAATATATTACATTATGTAGCAAGTGGAAATACAGAGTTATAGTGGCCGGTCTCTCACAGGATATGATACATGAAAGTGTTTTTTCCTATCATGTGACAGTGTTAATGTAAACAATAGCCTGAGTTGTAACACACCTGGCTAATCATTGGTTTACAGCAACTGCAAAGTTCTTTGCTTAAAAATACATTGTTATTCTTATAAAGTGCATTTTAAAGATTTCAGGAGGAAGTTATTTTTGTTGTGTTTTCCAGGGGAGGAAAGATCTGTCTGACAGACCATTTCAAACCTCTGTGGGGCAGGAACGTTCCGAAGTTTGGTATAGCACACGCCATGGCATTAGGGGTATGTACTGCTTGTGTGAGCTTTGCTTACTCACTCAGTCACTTGCTCACTCACTGACTCACTCAGTCAGTCACTCAGTCACTCACTCACTCAGTCACTCACTCACTCACTCAGTCACTCACTCACTCACTCACTCACTCACTCACTCACTCACTCACTCACTCATCACTTTAATTTTGTCACTTCATGAGTAAATAGATATTCTAGTCACTTGGAACGTATGGGAATAATCACCCTATTTTATTCAATAGTAGAATTTTAATTGTTCACATGTATAAGTTTTTTAAAGTGATTGATCATTAATTATCCTGATGAAGGCAACAGTGGTAGTTTGATCTCTGTGTAATCCTTGTGTTGTAATTAAGTAAATATTTTACTGTGTATAAGTATTGTTTACCTGGATGTCTATTTAAATCTATCAAAATGTTTTTGTCTCCCCCAGCTTGGACCCTGGCTAGCAGTGGAGATTCCTGACCTGATCTCCAAGGGACTCGTGCAACATAAAGACGATCAACAACAGAAGTAGACATCATCAGAACTTTAGTTCAAGACACGCAGTGATAGATAAATTATGATATCATGTCTATCTGTTAGCCTCCTTCTTACTTATTGAATTTCCGCCTCATCTGTTGTTTTATTCTAATGAAAGTTCATTTGGACATTATAAGAGATTTTTATATACTCTAATTCTGTACACAAAGTTAAATGATAATTATCAACAAGCTTTCAATCATGTAGTCCTCATATCTTCCTCAAGTCAAAATGACCCTCCGTCTGTATGTCACATGACCTGAACAGAAGTCAACTTTTCTGGAATCCATGCATGTTAACAATTGCATTTCCTCAATGTATAAATGCATAAATGCTTATGATGCATAGTACTTTGTACTGCATAATCACCAATAAAGAGATGAAACGATTTGAACTGCTTTTCTGTTTTTGTATGTTCAGTTAAACTTATATTAAAGTTCATCATAATCTACCAGATCTGGAATGGTACACACACTTTGAGGGGGTATTATATTTATGTTATTAAAATTCCAAGTTTTCCTCCTTTTTAAAGCCCTAAGACCATTTTCTCCAATCCTTTTTTAAATATATGAGAACAAATGAGATATATATCTTCTTGTACTTTTATTATAATCCTGACCGTATAAAGTTATTGGGGATTCAGCCTCCCCCCTCCAAGAACTTTTGGAGCATTCCTATCCCTCGGGGAGGGCGAATGGCTCACATACAAAATAGCTGCTATGTTCAGTCCCACCTCACACGTTCACAAAACTACCAAATTCATCGATTTAACTTATTGGATAAAGCTTTCAAGTTGTTTTTAAAGTCAATCTAACACCCATGTAACGTTACTTTACATGTTTCTTGATTTAGATTACATTTCTTGTAATTGTGGGAACGAATGGCCAGGTTCCGAATGATCTGCTAGTGTTACAGCCTATTAGTTTCGCACCAAAATCGAAGTGTGATCTTCGCGCCAAAAAGTAGCAAACATTTTAGTTACACAAACAGACCTGGAAACAGGCACAACTGGAGCAAATGGAGGAACGACAGGCTTCCGACAAGGCCAAAGCGTTACCACTACTGCTTTTTGTCAAGACAAAGGACCCATTCGACCTGGATTTGACTGGTAAGTTACAGAGCTTTGAGGGCCGAAACAGTAGTTGCACATGGCTTCTAGCTTCTTTATCGAAGTTCCAAGCGATGCAAGTCCACCGAAACTTTGTTTGCAGTTTTAAGAATATAATTTGTCAGAATGTTACGCTTTCGTTTGGTTATGTTGACTTTTCTGTTGTCGTAACTGAGCTTTTGTGACGATGTTTTGACATGGCCATGGGGCGAATGGCACGCATATGGCTTTCACACTGATTCAAACCAGATGTTTTAATATTGCATGAAAGAGAGTGAAGTAACTTTTGGCCTCTTTCTCTCTGTGTATCATGTGTTGGTGAGTAACTGTACGTATGTGTGTGCGTGCGTGTACATTCCACCCCTAACAGATTTCTGTGAAACTGCACAACACAGGTGAGCAATCAATAAAAACTGCCCCCTAGCAGAATCCATAATTACTGCAGTTATATTTTGTATATATAACATTGTACATTTTATTCTGATATCTGTGATATTCAAGCCGATGCCTTAATTGAGTGATGGCTGGTTTTGTTGACATCATGTAATGTTACATGTGAATATATATAACGTTAATTGTTTATTTATGAGGGCCTGCAAGCCCTTTTTCATAAGGCGTAATCAGGCCATTTTAGACTTCGTAATTCGTAGGCAGCCTCCGCAAAAATCAACGTAATTCGTAATTGAACATTAGCCGCAAATCTTAAAGTCGTAATCAGCTCTGAGACTTTAACGTAATTCGTAATAGGCAGCGAAAATTTTGCGTAATTCGTAATCACTGATGCTAGATGGCAGCCCCCCATGCACAGTCTTAGATTTGAACCTCCCAATAGCCTCGGCCTATGATGAATACATCCATGTATTAAAGTTTTAAACTGTGTTTCAGACAGCAGATACCCTGTAGGAAAATGGGACATGGATGCAGCTGGAGTTTCCTTCCTCATCGTTCCCTGGGACAGGAGGTCTGCACACCTTGACACCATCTTAAGGGCCTTCAAGGTCAGACAGTAACACCTTAAGATTTCTTGAGGGCTAGAACACTTCTTCTGTTGTCTACAGCATTGCAAGTTGCCTCGGAGATTTTCCTTGAAACATCCTGTTGACTGTGAAAACTTTCTTAACGTTAACATTTTCACCATTCTAGTCATCATCCTCATGGCAACAGTTACTGATGCCAATTTGGACCACATTAGTATTGCACCAGTAGACTATCCCCATATTGCTTTGCAAATGTTAATTACCTTTCTAGCAGCTGCTTTCTAGTTACTTACATCATGTTGCAATTTTATAGTAGGAGGGATTGAGACCCCTGTCACCATATAATAAATGTGTTTGAGTAGGAATTAACAGAGCAGTCCATATGCGAATTCGAAGGTAGACATTATGCATTTGCTTTGCATTTCTTTTAAACCTTTGTAGTTGTATTTTGTCCTAGGATGCGACCTGTGATGGTAAGAACAGCAAAGCTACGCTGGAGTTTCCCCGATGCCTAACGGGCGACATACGCAGTCACATCTCAGGGATGGCCAGGAAGTGTGGCCTGGGGGCTAGCAGCAGTGGGATAGGGGACGAGGTCGATCTGGTGTTTTTTTATGTTTACCGAAGGAAAACATTGTTTTTACTCAGTTTCTTCCTCTTCTGTTCCAAACACTAACCTCTGACCTGGCCAATGGCCTGATTTGTTGACGTCTCTCACCATGGTAACTGGTGTTGGGTTACATAATGTTGCAATTTTATAGTAGGAGGGATTTATACTTCTGTCTGAATATATATATATATATATGAATGCATTTGAGTAAGAATTAACAAAGAAGACCATATCCGAAGGTAAACATTACGAGGTCACATCTGTTGGTGTTTGTAGGAAATCACAGAACCTTGTGTAACTTGTTTTGAACAATTATACAAGTACCAGAAATATGAAATGATGATGAAATATGCTAAACATGGTTGTATATGTCATAAACATGGTTCTGTTATAAAGAAATTTTAATTTTTTGGGAAAAAAAGTATATGCAAATGTAAAATGTTCCTCCTACAGCGTTTCCTGACAGTGTACACGTCAAAGAGCCAGGAGAAGAGAGCGAAGACCAAGACACCCAGTCTGACACCTCAGCAGGAGAGGGAGGCTATGGACATGTGGAGGAGCTGGAAGGATGTCTGTGGGGATAACAAGAGGGTAGATTGATTTAGCCTCTATTACATGCAAAAACTGGGGGTTTTGGGGTCTTCAGGGTCTTTGGGAGCTTTTATGTGCTATTTTCTGATTGCATATAGACAACATAGCCGGCCTGGCTGAATTACCCCCGTTTCTTGAACTGGGCTAATCAGAAAACAGCCGAAGACCACCAAACCCCCAGTTCTATAAGCCTGCTATGGAGCCTAAGCTAGATTTTCTTTTCTTTATTCTCCCCTTTATTTCTTGTGTTGGACATCCACAACAGTATAGCCAATTATCTTAGCCAAGATAGTGAGTGTGAGTTAGGGTTAGGGTAGTCAGTGTGAGTGGGTTAGTGTTAGGGTTATGGACATGTGGAGGAGCTGGAAGGGTGTCTGTGGGGATGCCAAGAGGGTAGATAGATTTTCTTTTCTTAAAAAAGTTCAATTTATTCACTGAAATCACTGTATTCAGGCAGCCAGTTATTTTTGTCGGTGAAGGTTAGACAAACAGGTAATATCATATGCCAAAAAACAGTTGGATATGATTTTGGAAACAGTCAGACTGTGACACTGGAAGTTCTTGTGCTTAGTTCATACTTCAATAATAAACCAGCCTTTCTGACAAGTCTCCAGTGTCACTGAAGAAAGGTAGTGGATCCTACCTGAAATGTCTGACCATTTCCGAAATCATATCCAGTTGCTTGAGTAACTGCTTTTTGGCCTAACAAGGCTCTTGTTTTGTGCCTTGCAGCAGTTCAGTCAGAAGGAGGTAGCAGAGATGCTGAGTACAGGCCGGGTGGACCCCCAGCTGAGATCTGTGTACCAGCAGTGGAAACAGCAAGGCAGGAACCTTCCTACAGCCAGGCAGCAGGGCACACGTACAGCTCAACAACTCTTCGGTAAGTCTGAAGCCTTCCTTAGTTGTAGTGAGCTCATGAGACAAGAAAACTGCAAGGAAAAGGATCTAAGATTTCTCTGTACTGAGAGCTGTGTACCAGCAGTGGAAACAGCAAGGCAGGAACCTCCCTACAGCCAGGCAACAGGGCACACACACAGCTCAACAACTCTTTGGTAACTATGTTTACTTTCACTGAAGGAAAATATATTGTTTTTACCAGGGTTTTTCTCAGTTTCTTCCTCTTCCTCTTCTTCAAACAAATAAAGTCAATGAGCTGAACCAGACCTTTTGTCACTCTTATTCTCCAAACTAATAAGTTAAATGACCTGGACCAGACCTCTGTCACCATGGTAACTGGTGCTATAGGAGGCATCCTGTGGTGTTGCAGAACAGAGTTGGAGAGCCTGCCCACCATACCTATGAATGTATTTGACTTTGACTCAAAGTTTGAGTAACAATAAATGGTGCAGTAGTTTGTTGGGCTAGACCAGGTGAAGTATGCATTTGCTTTGCTTACCTTTCTAGTTCTTGTTAAGTCTTCCTTGAATGTCTTAGTCACACCCCATCATTTGTAATTGCAGTCAATATATAGCATTAAGTTTACAGGTGTTTTGAAAATTTACTGAGGTTCTGTATTACTTTTCTTGTTTCCCTGTATTCCATAGACAACATAGAGTGGGTGAAGCCTGAGTCAGGCCAGGTGGGACAGGTGTTCTACAATAAAGTACACCTGTCAGAGTCAGGAGGTTCTACAGGTGGGGAAGGCAGGTGAGAATACACAACAATAGCAGTAGTACAAAGCATGTATCTGGGACTATGCCTGCTTCTTTTCTCATTTGCCCTTCTTCTGCATGTACTTTACTTTCCTTATGACCAAGAAATTCAGGAACCAAGAAATCAGATTGGTGTGGCCTAACTACTCAATATAATTACATGTATTATAATATATAAAGAAGAATCTTTACTGAGGCAACCACAGTTACAGCCCACCATTTGCCTCTTCTCTGGTGGATTTAGGCAGTAGGAATCTTTCCTTACGTTGTTGATCCATCTCTTCCTTGGTTGACCTCATGGGTTTTAAAAATGTTACGCTTTACATTGGACCAACATTTGACCTTTTTATCTTACTGTATGTCCTCAGCTATTGGACCCCAGAAGCACCAGGCTCCACACTAGTGCTGTCCCAACTGGAGGCTATCCCGACACAAGGGCTGACCCATGCCATTGTGTGCACAGACACCAGACTCTCTGATGACTCCTATGTGATGAACTACTTTCCTCACTCTGTGGCACTCTCTGTCATCTGCCCTTCTGTAAGTGGAGAACCTGCTGTAGATTTTCAAAGGATTTTTTAAAAATCAACTCCAGTCTAGTACAATATGTACTGCATGAAAATCTTAAAGCAGTACTACACGTATTGATATTCTAGACATTCTAGACAATTACATGTATCTGTACTAGACAAATGTTACCACTGCACCACTCAGCAGTTAGAAAGTATGGATCATACTTCAACTGGACAGAAACCATTTCCATTGTTTCTTTCATACAAATGTACTTCATACCTACATTTGTATATAAACCCAATACATGATTAGGTACAGGTAGACATCAGAATTACCTGCACAGCCCCAATATCACCTGCACCAACCAACATATACAGATGGTATTCTGAACCTTGGCTGTACATTTTGTTTGTGCCCACAGAAAGGCAGCTCTTCTATGACACGGCAGAAGCTGGTGGACTGTCCCCATCACCCAGCTGACAGGACCTCAGCAGGCTCCCCGTGTGACTGTACTGACAAGCGTGTGGTGGAAGTTATCCACCCGAGAACCTCTCACAAACTCCACGCCAACTTCTGTGTCCTCAGGTAAGTCTTACAGCACTCTTATATACTTCTTTACTAGCACATTAAGATAGATAGTGTAAGATAGAACATAAACTTGGGATGTAAAAGTAGCAGAAAGCTGTCACCATGGTAACTCGTGCATGCTGAGGTGTTGGGTTACATTATGTAGCAAGTGGCAGGACAGAGTTAGACGGGCTGGTCACCATATACATATTGTATATTAATGTGTTTGAATAAGAATGAACTGAAAAGTAGTTTTTTTGGCATCATGCATTTTCTTTGCAGATGTTACCTTTCTAGTTTTGATATCCTTTTCTCCCTTTTTCTGTATCTGTATACTAGTATATATGTAGCCAGTATAACTTTCCCAAGACGTAACACACTAGCTTGGCAGGCACGCTATATTATACAGATGGACCTGTTACACCTAGTCAGTTTCCTCTTTAAAAACATGTATCGCCCTATATCTATCCCCCAGGTATGAGGCCCATGTGCGTCTGCTTGTGACGTCGGCTGGGTTCAGTGATCAGGCGTGGACCAGACAGGGTCAGCTGGGCTGGTATTGTGACCTTCCACTGACCTTCTCCCCAGAGGTCACGCAGCAGCTAGTGTGGAAAGGTGAGGGGTTAGAGGGTAAATGTTAGAAGTCAATAACTCTGTCTTGTATCAATATTGTATGACTTAGAATTGACTTGTAGATTGTACATAATTATGTCTAGATTAATGTAGTAGGTAGAATTATACCACTTACTGCTTCTCAGTTCCTTGACCAAGGGCGGTCATGGGGATGCTTTACAGCTAAACACACTGCCTCCTTTGATTTTTCTGTAGTTTTACACAAGGTTTTAAATAGTTTTACCGATATACATGTACAACACTAAAAGCTATTGCCTCACATTGTACCTGTTGGTGTGCAATAAGCTTTTACTTGACTTAACTTGACATTTTTACACCCCCCTCCCCAGACCCCCACCCTCTTGCCTCAGACCTGGGATATATCCTGCACCAGTTGGAGGTTCCCCAGCAGACTGTCTGGTCTGTCCTTACCGGCACAGACTTCAGCGGAGTGTCAGAGTGTGTCGAATTCATCCCCAGTCATCATTAACATTGCTTCAGAATTTTACCTGTTGGAGATGACATCTTAACCAACACATCTTTTGAAACTTATAGGTGGAAAGTCATCCTTAAGTATGCGAATATGTCCTTGAAAGAGATGTTCTGCTGATGTTATGTCTACCTAGGATTCAATCTTACAACCTTTATTTTCTGACTGGACAAACCTTAGCCACAAGACCACCTTAAAGCTTCTACAGTTTTCTCTTCTCTCCCCCTCTCAGACCCCCACCCCCTTGCCACAGACCTGGGGTATATGCTGCATCAGTTGGAGGTGCCCCAGCAGACTGTCTGGTCTGTTCTTACTGGCGCAGACTTCAGCGGAGTGTCAGAGTGTGTCAGGCTCATCCCCAGTGTACCTGGCAGGGTCTGGCCGAGGGTAAGTCAAACACAGAATTCTACTGTTATAGGGTAATGCTTGAGAATTATCTAAGGGACCACAAAAAAAAGGTACTGTCCAAGCAGAGGTTGGTGAGGAGGATTGTTACCTTTTTATGTGTATATATCTGTTGTTTTAGTGACAAAAAAATGGGGCATTTATACAAAGGTAACGAACTTAATACCTCTGCTTGGAGAGTACAAAAAGGGGCCACTGTGGCCATGTGGTCCTTATGGTGACCCCATAGCCATCATAAGGTGGTGAGAAGTTTTCTCTTTTTTGTATCTATGAACAGTATTCAACTTCCAAATTGACTTCTCTCAACTTTGAAAGTTTAAGTTACTAAAGTTACTACTAGTAGTACATGTACATGTAGTATGTCAGTCAGTTGTATCATTATTACCCCTGTTAACTGTTGTATGACTAGGTTGTCAGTAAAACTGGGGTTTAGAAGTAGATCTACTTTTCTCCAGGGCAGAGAGATCTCCCACGTTGGACTGGTGAAGCTGTCAGAGCTGCTGTCACAGGTTCCCTGGCCTCCAGGAGAAGATCCACCAGTACGTATCAACTACTTCTCTTTGTTTATTTCGTATAACCTGTAAACCGCCTTTAGGCGTAACACACTAGTTTTGTAGGTCCCCTACTGTTTTCGATAAGTTGCGATGGGTTCTTTAACGTGCGTGGGGTGTGGCTCTCCCCAAACACAGGACCTCCATTTAACATCTTATCTGAGGGACGTCCCTAACCGAAGCTAGGAACTCATTTTCACCTGAGTGAAGTGAGGAAAGTCTTTCCCAAGGGCAAAAGATAGGTGACACTGGGCAGGATTCGAACCCGGGACCTCTTGGGCCTGGGCCGAACACGCTACCGCTATGCCACATGACCCCAAACAACTTTCTAGTTCCTCTCTGTTTCAGATGACCTACCAGACTCCTCGTGTGGATTACATCAGTAACCTGTGGCTGCACAGTCTGTACAGCAGCCTGGCTGGTCAGGGGAAGGGTCTGTTCAACAGGAGTGTTGGAAGTTCCATCAACTGTCTAGCTTTTTTCATTCCCTGAAATATTTCCTCTCTGTTTCAGATGACCTACCAGTCTCCTCAAGTTAACTGTAAAAACTGTGTTACCCATGGACACAACATCTAGCCCAGTGTGTTATCAGGAATAAAACCCATGGCCCTTATACTAGTAAAATTTCTTATTCAACTCTTAGGCAAACTTTTGTTTCGTCTCATCTCATGAAATAATTTGCTCTGTTTCAGATGACCTACCAGACTCCCCGTGTGGATTGCATCAGTAACCTGTGGCTGCACAGTCTGTACAGCAGCCTGGCTGGCCAGGGGAAGGGGCTGTTCAACAGGACTGTTGGAAGTTCAATCAGCTGTCTAGCTTTTTTTATTCCTTGAGATATTTTCCTCTGTGTTTCAGATGACCTCCCAGTCTCCTCAAGTCGCCTGTAAAAACTGCCTTACCCATGGACACAACATCTACATGTAGCCCTGTGTTATCGGGATTCAAACCCATGACCCTTATACTAGTAAAATTTCTTATTCAACTCTTCAGCAAACTTTTTTCACACCTTATGAAATATTTCCTCTGTGTTTCAGATGACCTACCAGTCTCCCCGTGTGGATTACATCAGTAACCTGTGGCTGCACAGTCTGTATACCAGCCTGGCTGGTCAGGGGAAGGGTCTGTTCAACAGGACTGTCGGAAGTTCAATCAGGAGAGATCATCTGCTTGAAGCTGTCAACCACTTACAGGTGAAGAACGTTTTTAAAACGCCTGCACGATATCTTTGTCATATAAAATGGAACATGTTCAGTGATGAGATGATAGAAAATTGCTGGAGAAGTAAAAAGATATAAATCCTATGCTCTCTCTCTCTCTAGCTTGTCTACACTCTAATGTACATGACTACATCATGCTTCTTGTTGCCTTCACTGGTCAGCACCTTATGAGAATTGGGAACATACTAAATTCTAGGAACACAATTTTTTTTATTTAGTACAATTTTCACCTCACTGCAAACCACTCAAATGTTTGGGGTTATGAAAAGGGACTGTTAAGACATATGTTTGTTTACCTTAGAAAATTTTTTGGGGGGAATGGTTCTCTCAAGTTATAGCTGAATGGCCACAAGCTCTGACAGCAAGTTAGAGATTGTGTAATACAGGCTACACCTTACCCATACTACTGATTCTGCTGTAGATTCTTTATCACAGTCTCCTTCCTACTTCCAGGTGGTTCACCCATGGGGAGTTGATATGGACGATGTTTCAAACCTACCTCCATCTTCAAACGACATCCACATGTCATGGTATGGAGCAAAGTTTCTGATGTTGTTGAGTGTTTTTTCCATACATATTTCTTCTGGACCCTCTTAAAAATCAGTGCTAATTAGATATTGACAGATCCATACCCCACTCTAGAAACTAAGATAAGAAGAAAGTATTTTACTATATTGTTTATACAGGGATGGAGACATGTGGAGTAACTTGTACGACTCAAGGCAAGGCAGCTACAGAAAGGTAGCCTGGAATGCCAACACTGTTATGAGGACCTGCTCCCTTTCTGATAACAAAAGTAAGGAAACACATTCTTGGGCAGGGCTCTTCATGCTTGCATCTAGGGAGAAGAAAAACTGGGACAGTAAAAACTTATGGTGCCTTCAAGAGGTGGCCGCTTGGTCAGGTTTGACTGTACTTCAGTGCACTTGTTAGAAAACAATGTACATATAGATCTTAAAACTTATCTCACCACAACCAAATCACCTTTTGAACAACTTGTCAGTGAAGGCTTTTTATGCTATTTCAATGTTTCTCTAGCCTAGTTACCAAACCTGTTATACAGTAGCTCCCAAGTCCTACATCCTCTCCACAAATATTTTGTGGAGCTAAAACAGGTTTGGTCATCAAGCTAACGCTTCTCTACCTTTCCATTACACAGATGCTGGCCAGTATGGTTGGCTGTTGCTAGGCAGCCACGCACTGACCTGCACCTCCTGGGGAGAGGTCAGGTCAGAGGTCAGGTCGGGTCAAAAGTCATCCCATGACCCCTTCTACCTGCAGCATAGCTGGCAGCTCAGTGTGGTCATACTGCCTCGGCTGACCAACAAGCAAGGTACGTCACTGTGTTGTTGTTTGTTTGTTTCGTGTTATGGTAAAATAAAAGTTCATTTTGGCATAACACACCAGCTTTGTGAATAGTTTCATCAGGTTGGTAAGTCACTGTAACCATGTAGAAATGTAAATATTTTATGTTTGGGAATGCATCTATAGCAGCAACACCTGTGCTGCAGTACAATATGAACCAGTCAGAATTGCCCTGAGGAAGGTGACAGACGGTCATCACTGAAACGTCAGCTGAATCAGATCATGAATCATTGGCACTGCCATCATTTCATGATTTTGAGGAAGCCTTGGTACCTGTTAAGTCTAGACAGAAACAGTGCACTCCTCCCCTGAGTGTATAGTGAACGGGCAGTGCTAGGAGACATTCCTGTGGACATGCCATGCCTGTGGACAAAATTCCTGTACAATTCCTAGAATTCTTGCAAACTGCACACAGTACTGTACCATTAGGCTCCTCCCTGAGACGTCACCAAAAATGAAAATGAAAAGATTGACTGATTCCTTGGCTCCCCAGGTGTGAGTAAGCTGGTAGCACCAGACCTGAGCAGGTGGGACCTCCCAGGTAAGGCTGCCCACCTGTGCAGGTGTCCCCCAAGTGGGCTACCTGTGCCCCTGCTCCTTAAGACATTTCGCCACAAGAAGAACAATTGGTTGCGTTTTTCCCTTGCTCTCCAGGTGAACCTAAGCTGGTAGCGCCAGACCTGGGCAGCTGGGACCTCCCAGGTAAGGCTTCCCACCTGTGCAGGTGCCCCCCAGGTGGGCTGCCTGTGCCCCTGCTCCTTAAGACATTTCGCCATGAGAAGAACAATTGGTTGCTTTTCCCTTGCTCTCCAGGTGAACCTAAGCTGGTAGCACCAGACCTGGGCAGCTGGGACCTCCCAGGTAAGGCTGAACACCTGTGCAGGTGTCCCCCAGGTGGGCTACCTGTGCCCCTGCTCCTTAAGACCATGAGAAGAACAATTGGTTGCTTTTTTCCGTTGCTCTCCAGGTGAACCTAAGCTGGTAGCACCTGACCTGGGCAGCTGGGACCTCCCAGGTAAGGCTGAACACCTGTGCAGGTGTCCCCCAGGTGGGCTGCCTGTGCCCCTGCTCCTTAAGATGCAGCAGAAGGATAAGAAGTTGTGGCACCTGACGGGACAGGTGAAGGAAGTGTGGCGGAACGGGACGACTGCGGTGGCTCTTAAGGTGCCCGGCGAGGTGGAAACACCCTCCAAGTGAGTTGTACTTGTTTTGCTTTTTCATGGCCTATGTCTGTATCTGTATCTGTATAGCCGGTATAACTGCCTTTCAGCGTAACACACCAGCTTCTGTATCTGTATAGCCGGTATAACCGCCTTTCAGCGTAACACACCAGCTTCTGTATCTGTATAGCTGGTATAACCACCTTTCAGCGTAACACAGCGGCAGCTGGCTACATTACACCGATCGGCTTGTTACTGTACTTGGTGACAGCGAGTTCCACTCTGCGATAGGAAAGAATGAATTCTTGAAGACCTCAATCCTTGGTTACACAATGACTTTTTTTATACATCTGATTCTCAGGCTCCCGTTAGATGAGTGGCCCGGTCCAGAGGCAGGGTATGAAGCCAACCTTCACATCAACGTGGCCCTGCAGTGTGGACTGGACCAATTCCCGCCAAAGGGGTGGATGGTATGGAATGATCCATTTTTCTCTTAGTGACTGAAAAGCTTTACTGGCCTTGATGTACAAATGTATCTGTATCTGTAAAGCTGGTATAACCGCCTTTCGCTGTATACGTAACACTACATTACACTGATCGACTTGTTACACCTAACCCTTGAACATCTAACTCTAGACATTGTTTAAAGCTATCTAATGACAATGCCCCTACTGTGCTTGGTGACAGCGAGTTCCACTCTGCAATAGTTCTAGGAAAGAATGAATTCTTGAACACCTCAAGCCTTGGTTGATAACTCTGGTACTTGAAGGCATGGCTATTTCTTGTTCTCTTCTGGGCTGGTATTAGGTACTTAGTAGTTGGTACGTCCATCAGTTTATTAGTCATTTTGTCTGCCGACATGCTACCTACATGGGACTGCATTGTTGTTCCAGGTGGACATGTTGGCCTGTGTGAGCCGGTCCAGGGATTTAAGACTACCATACCTGCGTGTTGTGGCAGTTCTACACACCTGGAAAGGAGAGGAACAGCCCGGCCGTTACTGTAACGTCCCAAACTGTTACCAACACGGACCTAAACACCCTCAGTTTACTGGGGTGGAGAGGTGATGTTTTCTTTGCTTTTGGAAATTTGGGAACATAATCTTTCCTGGGACATAGTTTTCTGTGTGTGTGTTTGTTTGTTATTTTTCTTTTGTGTGTATGTGTGTTTATGTGTGTCTGTGTTAAATTGTTTTTCTTGTGTATGTGTGTGTGTACCTGTGTCTGAATGTTTACTCGTGTATGTGTGTTTGTGAGTACACGTCTGTGTACATTTGTATGTTGTTGGTGTGTGTACACGACTGTTGGTGTGTGTATGTGCTTGAGTGTGTGCGTGTTTCTGTGTGTGTGTGTATCTGTGTATGTCTACTTGTGTGTATGCATGTGTGTCTGTATGTACATGTGTCGTTGTTCTTGTTAATGTATATGTGTGTTTACGTGTGTGTACATGTGTATGTTGTTTTTACTAAAAAGGTATATATATATATATATGTGTGAATATGTGTCTCACACCACTATTTTCTCCCCCCCTCCCCCAGGCACCCCCATGAGTTTGTAGTGGTCGGTCTGGACCTGGACCCCGAGGAACCCCTCCGTGAGACCTACCCCGACCCCAAACCCCCTCCCGGACGGGATCGCCTGATTGGTCGGCTCCAGAGGGCGAACCCGAGCCCGTACCCCCCACAGAGCGGCCCCGGGAGTAAGCAGGACTATAGTCTGGAGATAGAGGCTGTGTGGAGGAGGTACTTCACTGGGATTTAAACACACAAAAGGGTGTTACAATGAACCTCAGAGATAGACCTGGACAAAAAACTGGAATACTAACCCTTTCAGGCTTTTATTTTGGGCACAAGGGCAAATAAAAAGAGAAAATCTAGCTCACTTCAATGGAAGTTGGACTTGGACAAAGAACTGTATGTCTATGAATACTAGTACATCAGCAGAGCATAATGTGAGTGGAGGAGTGGGATTTAAGCCTCTACCTGCTGAGGTAGTCTTTTGACATCAAATCTGTGTTCATGAGAGGGTTAGGCAGCAGGAAGAAGGTTAACCACACAGGTGTTACATGTACTTACTACAGAGATGAACTTGGACAAAGAACTGTTACATGTATGTCTATGAATACTAGTACATCGGCAGAACTTACTGTGTGGAGGAGGTACATGTACTTCAGTGGGATTTAACCACACGGCTGTTATGACGGTTGGGCCTATATGTCTACGAAGACTGTAAATCTTGTGCATTAGGGACAAATAAGGAAATGTAGCTCACTTCCCACCTTCCTATTGTATTTTTTTTTTCATCAGATTTGTTTTTGTTACTGTATTTGTGGGCAGTATAGGGAGGTTAGCCACACAGGTAATTATGCTAGAAACCTGAACAAACAACTCTGGGTAGCTCCAGAGGGCCAACCCGAGCCGGCA